AAAAAATTTTTTTTTAAAACAATATATTTCAAACTTCATTTAAAATAGTTGAGGTAAACTAATATTAAAAAAAATATTAAGACCAATTGATATATAATATCTGAGGAAGAAACAGAAATAAAAAGTAATTTTAGGAAAAGAATAGATCTAGAAAGAAGAAAAAAAAGAAGAAAATACAATTCTCAAGGCAATAAACACGTCACTGGGATAACAGAAACTTTCAAATGCTTTGTCACTAGTAGTAACAGAGAGTTAATCAATTATTATAATAAAAAAAGTTAGTATAATAGATTTAAAAGTCCTTATTTTGAAAGTGTTCAAGATCCCCTTTACTAGATTTTGAATAATTTTAAATAACTAAATAATAAAATAAATCTAATTAAAAAAAAAACAGGTAGTTAGAATTGGATAAGAAAAAGGTAATAGAATAATTATTCCTGAAATTAGTACTAGTCCAATCAAAGTATACTAGGAGAGATTTTAATCTATAAGAGAAATCAAGCTCATTTTGAAAAAAAGATACAATCTCAAAAGAAACAGTAGACACCAATACAATCCTTCCCTATATAAAACATGATATATTATTTGATAATTTTACTAATAAATAAATATTTTTTAAATAAAAATTATAATAAAAATAAAAATTTTTTTAAAATAAAAATTAAAAATAAATCTTTTTTTTAGAAATAAAATTAAAAATAAATCTTTTTTTAAAAATAAAAATTAAAAATAAACTTTTTTTTTTTACAAAAATAATTTCTTTTAAAATAAAATTAAAAATAAAACTTTTCTTTTAAGATAAAATTAAAAATAAATTATTTATTAAAACAAAAATTAAAAATAAAAAAATTTTTTAAACCAAAAATTAAAAATAAAAAAAAATTTTTTAAACAAAAATTAAAAATAAAACCTTTTTCTTTTATAATAAAAATAAAAATTAAGATTAAAATATTTTTCTTTTGAATATAATCTAAACTTATATATAATATTAATAATAACTTTAAATAACTAAATTTAAAGATAGCTCAAACATTTTATTATTATTAATATTAATTAAATTATAATTAAAAAAATTTTTTATATAAAATATAAAAAAAAAATAAACCTCAATTAAATAAATCAGAAATATCTAAACATTTTTGTTATTTTAATAATAATAATTTTTTTTTTTTTTAACCCGCAATCATGCCGCTTTGGCGTTTTTTGGGGCCCAGCGAAGGAATTGAACCCTCGTCTCCACGCAAATAGGTAGTTGTGGTGTTCTAACAACTAAACTAACTGGGCAATTATTTTAATAATAATTAAAATAGATCAAGTACCGTAGAACGCTGCATAAAACATCCCTCTTGAATAATATCCCCCAGGTGCTATAAGCGGTATAAATAAGTATTTTTATCTATATAATATGAATAAACCTTAATGTAAATATCATATTACAGTAAATTTTATTTCTCGCGAAGATAGATTTTAGGCAGTCCGAATTAAGCGCTATGCCTAATTTCCATTGAATCCATACAACAAATTAGTTGGTTTTTTTATGATCGAGAAAATCCAAGGTTGAATTCTTCAAATAAAATTTAAAACTCTTTCCGCTAGAAGGAATATCTGTTTGATCATCTTTCGCCTGCCGCTGTACAATAGCCGGTGGATCAATACTAAACGACTTCAAAAAGCCTGCTTTGATCCAATTTATCAATTGCACATCTATCGGCTCCGTTAAAAAAGTAAGCATCTTTACTAGTCTCTGGGCAGCTGCGAATGAAACGGCATAAGCATGCGTGCAGACCGGCATTTTAGAATAATAGAGTCTAAACGCAGAAGTAGTTTTGTTATCACAGGGCTCTTTGTTCTCAAACCAACAATGGCCAACGTACAGCAGATCCCAATTCGGAGGTAAAGTAGGATAGATTCCATGCACTATTGAGGTGATATTAAGTTCGATATCTACATCATCTTCTAAAATCAAAGCGTTACGGTACCCGTTATTAATGATTGACCGATAGACTTCATAATGGCCGGCGTAACAAGCTTTTCGGTCATCAGAAAGACTGCTATTGTATTTTTTGAGTGTTTTACTATCGAATTTGGAAACGGCGGGAAAAAAATCAAAAGTCAGATTGAGTACATTCGACATGGCTTCCATTCTTTCACGTCTATCCAATCGATGTACAAGGTTAATGACATAAATGTGGTCAAAACCAAGGGTACTATTTAAAGATCGAGGAAGTAATGGTTTGTTCGTTGTTGTAATTGATGAGATGGTATAAGTCACGAAAGCTATTATTGTTATGAACGCAAAGAACGATAGAATTCTGAATTTTTTTAACATGGTAAAACGAATGTGTAGTCTGTAGAAATTGAGAGTAGCAAATGTGGCAAATACATTTATTTGTGTAATTGTATCACAAATAAAGAACCTGTAGAAATATCCAAAACAAGAATTTTATGTTTTACAAACCCTTTTGCAGCAAATTATTTGCGGTTTTGTGCTGGTTTTAGACATTGGAGACCCTCCACTTTAGACGCTAGATCATCCATGCGTCATGACAGTATTTTATTATAATAAAGATCATATTTAGTGACAACCAGGATGAATAATTAATTACCCATACTGTCTATAGATTTACAGATCATTGAATAGTTCACAGAGTTAACTATTTACATCTCACCCAACTAGAAGTAACTACATGACTATCTAGTACACACCCCTCCCCTATATTACCGGAAATTGATGATCGATAAAATAAAGTGACAATTTTTAAATCCAATTTTTTTTTATTTATAAAAAAAAAATATAATGATATAAAAGAAAAAAAATTCTATTTTATAGGTCAAAAAACGAAAAAAAATTTTTTTCTAATATTTAGTATGTCCACCTTTAACTCTAATAATATTTTTGGTATGTTTCAGCATACTTAAAATTAGATTATGTAAAGTATTTATAGTAATATTTGCCCATTCTTCCTATGTGGACTGAATTAAATCCTTTTTTAATTGAGATAAAGGTTTTTTTTTCCGAATTTGACAATCAATATGGTCCCACAAGTATTCAATTGGATTTAAATCCAGACTTTGTGGAACCTAGTCTAAAATCAGAATATCATATGTTGCTATCCACCAAGTTGTATAAAACAATATATGATATGGAACATAATCTTGTTGAAACATTGTATTTGGATCATTACGAAGGTATGATATCAAATAATTTGTTAAAATATTAATGTATATATCAGAATTTATATTTTCTTCAATTACTACTAACGGTCCAACTTTATACCAGCTAAAACAACTCTAAAACATGATAGATTGTCCATCAAATTTAACTATGAGTTAAATACAATTTTTATTATAAGCTTTGCCTATTTCTCTCTATGCTTTTACCTGTTCATCCAATTTAAATAAAGTAAATCTAGACTTATTTAACTATACAATTTGCTTCTATTTTTTTTTCCAATTACATTTAGTTTGATATCACTTTAATCAATAAATTTGTTGACATTTAGTTAAAAGAGATTTTTTTTGCATACATAACTTCTCAAACCAAGATTATGAAGATTTTTTGAATAGTTTTAGAATTATAGGTTGTATTAAGACTTTTATTTAGTTTGTTAGTGATTTTTTTTAAAAATAAAAACCAGTTTTTTAATACAATATATTTCAAGTAACATTGATCACGATTTGAGAGAGTTATTGATTAACCAGATCATTTTTTTGGATGAAAAATATCTGTTTTTTTATAATGATTTATAGTATTATATATCATTGTATGAGAAATTTTCAGTGCAGTTGCTATTTTTAGTCTGTTCGAACCTATGAGATAAGTACTGATTATTTGATTTTTTTTTTCAATAATCAGTTCATTTTCATATATATTTTTTTTCAATAATCAGTTCATTTTCATATATTTTTTTTTAAAAAAAAATCTACAAAAATAACTGATTTTTATGAATATAGTTATCATTTATTCTTACGTCAAAAAATGAAATAAATTTTTTCTTTATTAATTAATGATTATTAATTTCTAATAATATAGGAAAGAGGTATATATACAGTCAACTCTCAATAAAAGAAAATGTACGTCATATTGAATGCCACATTTGGATAGAATTATCTTAAAAGAAACTCTAGATATGATTCTCATTTGATTTACCAAAATCACGTAAAATCACATAATTATTGTAGCTCCAACAAAAGTTAATTTTCACAAATTTTTAAATTTTATTTTTTTTATATACAATAATTTAATTTGAAAAATTTATATAATTCTAAAGCTTAAACTTTATACTATATAATAATTATTTAATATTTTATAAAAAAATTAATAAAATATTTAAAAAAAATAACAAAAATTTTTATTATAATTAATTTGGAATTCAAAATTAATTTTGAGAATATGGATAATTGTTATTTTTATATATATGTATATATTTTATGTTTATCTATCAAATTCTTCTTTTCAAAACTTTAACTTCATTTTTTAAAAAAATTTCTAATCAATTTACAAATAAAATGAGACACAATATTAAATTTCCTAAATATATCTTGAAAGGATTTCAAAAACATGAATTATGTTTATTAAAACAAAAATATTCTGATCTTTAAAATAAAACTTTGGCTTGAAAATATAA